AGGGCAAAGTCACTCAAACTACCGAGAGGTATAGAGTGAGTAGTTACGTGCAATGGCTATATCATGATCTCAATTATAACAAATTTGCCCTAAGTTTTAGATCTCGTTATATACTCACCTAGGAGTATGTCACTTCCCTAGTGCCTTTCTACTAATTAAGAAAACCCCATACAAAAATATCATACTTAGCTTATTTTCCTGCATCATTAGTATTAAATTAGAATAGTAAACAAACAAGGAATGATAATTAAGAACATCGCACATTGCTAGATTGGATAGGAACCCAATTCCAAACCTTTCTTAGCTATCTGTGGGAATCGATCCCGACCCCTCGGGTAAAAGCTGCATCGATCGCTCTTGCCACTCTATAGTGGTATAGGGTTGGAACCGATTAACCAACATAGAAAGTGTGGTCCCTGCTCTTGTGCCTCTTTGTTCTAGCATCGAGCATAGGACTCTTCAGTCGTTCAAGGACGCCGACCTGTGCTTGAGCGTATCCGGGTGGGCTCTGCGGGTGAATTCCTTTGTTTTCGTTCTCATTCCTTGTGTTTATCTCCTTTTTTACTGACTTTTTTGTATTTTTCTCTCTTCAGACTCTCATCTTGGAAAGCGAGAGCACCCATCGGGCGGAGAATAAAAAGGTGGTTTTTATGAAAATGGTTACTAAGTATCGCCGATACTGCGATAGGTACCACGCGATGCGTACTTGGCTCAGCGCCAGAGGTAACCTCCAATCTCTTAAGGAAGAGTTAAAGCAGAGGGATGATGAGCTCGTGAGAGTCATTGGTAGATGCAGCGAACTTGAGGGGGCGCTCAAGATAAAAGAGGACGAGATTGAAGTGAATAAAGGAGTCGTGGCTGAATGTGTTGACCTCCAAGCTCAGGTGGCGTCTTTACGGGCCTAGCGTGATAAGAACATGGCTAGGGCTGATGGATTGAGTGATGAGTTGGTTGAAAAGGCTGCAGAGTTGGAGAGGGCCGAGGTGGCCAGGTCGCCGGCGTTGGCGCAGGTAGTCGAGTTAGAGGATGCCATCCGTGTCCTCAGATCTGAACGGGCGAATAATGTCGAAGTAGCCACTTTCAAGGAGATGAGGTCTAATGAACGGATCGGCGGCCTCGAGAAAGATCTTTCGGACCTGAAGGAACGGATCACCGTCCTTGAGGCTGAGAAGGCAAGGCTATTGGCCCAGCCGTCCTCCTCTCACGCTTTGATTTCCCTGATGTCCCACGGAATTTGTATGAGATGTGGATTCATGCCGAGGCTCAGCTGGACATTTACAAGAATTTAATGACGGCGGGGAAGATTCTTGAGGCCGAGTTTAAAGAGGCTCGTGACAAGGCGTGCGAAGCTAGGCTTACTTGTGGTTATGACCCAGCTACACCGGGGACCGGTGACGATGAACAGGACCTGGACGGGCTTGCATCTGATCCTTGGTATGACGGGCGTTGCTGTACCGGGCGGTGACAGTGCAGGTGGAGATGATGTGGTGTGATGCTTTAATACTTAGCTTTTGTTCTCTTCTTTCTGTGTTTTTTTTTTTGGGGGGGGGGGAGGGGGTAGGGGAGGCGTTCTTCTGGCCCTTTGTAAGATATTTGGAGAGAAATGATTGACGTTTTGCTGTATGTTCTTGGCCCTTTTTTGCTTTTCTTAGAATGTTTTTGCTTTGACTAACTCGAGCGAAGTGGAAGGATGTTAATAACTTCGAACGAGGTCAGATGTGAGTCGATTCGAGCGAGGTCAAATATTTGACTCTTAGTCGATTCGAACGAGGCTGAATGTGAGTCGATTCGCGCGAGGTCGAATATTTGACTCTTAGTTGATTCGAACGAGGTCAAATGTGAGTCGATTTGAACGAGGTCGAACGTTTGACTCCTAGTTAATTCGAACGAGGTCGAATGTGAGTCGGTTCGAGCGAGGTCAAATGTTTGACTCTTAGTCGATTCGAACGAGGTCGAATGTGAGTCGGTTTGAGAGAGGTCAAATGTTTAACTCTTAGTCAATTCGAACGAGGTCGAATGTTTGACTCTTAGTCGATTCAAATGAGGTTGAATGTGAGTCGGTTCGAGCGAGGTCTAATGTTTGACTCTTAGTTGATTCGAACAAGGTCGAATGTGAGTCGATTCGAACGAGGTCGAACGTTTGACCTTTAGTTGATTCGAACAAGGTCGAATGTGAGCCGGTTCGAGCGAGGTCAAATGTTTGACTCTTAGTCGAGAGGTCGAATGTTTGACTCTTAGTCAATTCAAACGAGGTCGAATGTGAGTCGATTCGAACGAGGTCGAATGTGAGTCAGTTCGAGCGAGGTCGAATGTTTGACTCTTAGTCGATTCGAACGAGGCCGAATGTGAGTCGATTCGAACGAGGTCGAATGTGAGTCAAGCTTGGCGTAATGTATAAATGTATAAACTTGGCGAAGTGAGGAACTCATTTGTATAAGAAAATTTGTATTCATTGGAGTTTATATGTTTTTGTTCTGTTCAAGCATACATTGAAGTCCTGGTCCATCTAGTCCCTTCTTTGGTCGACGAGGAGAAGTAGTCAAGAGGTCAAGCAATAAAATTATACTCTTAAGACTTCCGAGACGTCCTCTTTGTCACCTTGCTAAAAACCTCCCCGAGAAAACCCAATTGGGACAAAACTCGAATGAGGGAAAAAGAGTACGACTTGGGGGACATCTATCTTTAGAAGTTGAAGTATTTGAGGTGGGCGACGTTCCAATTATTTGGTAGTAGTTTTCCCTCCATTATTTCTAGTTGGAACGACCCTTTGCTTATTGCTGCCGTGATTTTGTACGGGTCGTCCCAATTGGTTCCCAATTTGCCTTCTCGTGGGTCCTTGCTTGCCTGAGTTTTGGCTTTGAGTACATAGTCCCCGACTTTGAGTGGCCTGACCTTGGATTTTTTGTTGTAGTACCGTTCTGCCTGTTGTTTTTGTGCTATCATTCTTACGTAGGCCACGTCTCTTCATTCTTTAATCTCGTCGAGGTCTTGTCTTCTGCTTTCATCGTTGCTCGGCCTGCTCTCATTTGATTATCTTAGGCTTAGTTCACCGACCTCGACTGGTATCACTGCATCAGCCCCATAGACTAACGAGTACGGCGTTTCTCCTATGCTTGTTTTTGGCATTATGCGGTATGCCCATAGCACTTCAAGCAACAATTTTGGCCATAATCCCTTGGCGTTCTCGAGCTTCTTTTTTCAGGATGTTCAATATTGATTTGTTGGAGGACTCATCCTGACCATTTCCCGCAGGGTGATAGGGCGTGGAGAGTATCCTTTTGATGTGCCATTTTTCGAAGAACTCGACGGTCTTTTTTCGGTGAATTGGGGCCCGTTGTCACAGCTGATTTCTTTGGGGATGCCAAAGCGGCATATGATGTTTCTCCATATGAATGTGATTACTTCTTGTTCGCGGATTTGGGCGAATGCACCTGCTTCCACCCACTTAGAAAAATAGTCAGTTAAAACTAAAAGGAATCCTATGTTACCTCGTCCCGCTGGGAGGGGTCCGACGATATCCATTCCCCATTTGACGAAAGGCCAGGGCGAAATGAATGAGTGAAGGTGCTCGCCCGCTTGGTGAATCATGGGGGCATATTTTTGGCATTGCTCGCATCTTTTGACGAAGTCAGTCACCTTCTTTTTCAACCAATAGCAGCTCCTCGTATGAGGAATCTGACTAGAGCTCGGTTGCATGTATGAGCTCCACAGTGGCCTTCGTGTACCTCTTCGAGGACGCACCGCATTTGATTTGGCCCTAAGCACTTCGCTAGAGGTATGCCAAACGTTCTTTTGTATAAGTCGTTGTCGATGACGTTGTACCAAGCCGCCTGCATTCGCAACTTCTTGGCTTCTTTTTTATCGGGTGGGAGTATCCCGTCCTGCAAATATGAGATAATGCGATTGCGCCAGTCCCAAGTTAGGTTTATAGTTCGTACCTCGATTTTGGTTGATCAACGAGTAGAGGATGGTAACCACGTTTCCTTTCTCGGGTATGTTTTTAGTGGCCGTAACTTGGCGAGATCGCCTGCTTCGACATTCTGGGCTCGGGGGATCTGGTCGAGCTGGCACTCGTCGAACTGGGGTAATAGCTTGCAGATCTCGGTCTGATATTTTTGCAACCTCTGCTCTTTTATTTGGAAAGTCCCTGTGACTTGGTTGACGACGAGCTGAGAGTCGCACTGTAGGACGACCCGCCTTGCTCCGTACTTGAGTGCTAGCTTTAAACCTACAATCACGGCCTCGTACTCGGCCTCGTTGTTAGTCATGTCTAGGCATCGAATGGACTGGCGATTTACTTCACCATTTGGGACCTCGAGCACGAGTCCCAGTCCCGATCCCAGCGCGTTGGACGCGCCATCTATGTGCAGTACCCATAGGTCGTGTAGTTCGGCACGAGTATGGGCGGATTCCTTCTCGACTTCAGGCATTATTTTTGCGCTGAAGTTGTCGACGAAGTCGGTGAGCACTTGTGACTTTATGGCCGTTCGTAGCCGGTAAGTTATATCGTGCTCGCTGAGCTCTATAGCCCATTTGGCCAATCGGCCCGACAACTCGGGCTGGTGCAAAATACTCCTCAGGGGAAAGGTCGTTACTACCGAGATGGGGTGGCATTGGAAGTAGGGTCTAAGCTACCGTAAAGCTACGACTAGAGCCAGGGCCAGTTTCTCGAGGTGTGGATATCGCGTCTCGGAGTCGACCAGGATTTTGCTAATGCAGTATATTGGAGATTGCGTACCTTTGTTTTCTTGGACTAGAACCGCGCTTACAGCCACATCGGATACAGCCAAGTAGACGAGGAGATGTTCACCGGTTTCCGCTTTGGCGAGTAACGGAGGAGAGGATAAATATGCTTTTAGCTCTCTCAATGCTTCGACGCACTCTGAGTTCCACTGGAGTCCGCTATCTTTTCTGAGCATGCTGAAAAATTTGTGGCACCTATCGGAGGACCAAGATATGAATCTTGATAGGGCGGCTATACGGCCGGTCAGCTTTTGTACCTATTTCTTACTAGTCAGGCTCTCCGGTATCCCCTCGATACCTTTGATTTGGTCGGGATTAACTTCTATTCCCCGTTGTGACACTAAAAAATCGAGGAATTTTCCCGAGGTCACTCCAAAGGCACATTTCTCGGGGTTTAGCTTCATTCCGTATCGCCTAAGTATGTCGAAGGCTTCTCTTAGGTGGTCTTCCTTCCTTTTCGACTTGACCAATATGTCGTCGATGTAAACTTCCATTGTTTTACCAAGTTGGTCTTTGAACATTTTCGTCACCAACCTCTGATACGTCGCTCCTGCATTTTTCAACCCGAACGGCATGACCCTATAGCAGTACGTCCCTTGTTGGGTGATGAAGGTGGTCTTTTCCTGGTCTTCCTCCTCCATCAGGATCTGGTTGTAGCCCGAGTAGGCATCTAGGAAACTTAATAGCTCGTGCCCGACAGTTGCATCGATGAGTTGGTCGATGTGGGGCAACGGGAATGAGTCCTTTGGGCAGGCTTTGTTCAAGTCTGTGAAGTCTACGCACATCCGCCATTTTCCGTTCTTCTTTTTTACCATGACCACGTAGGCAACCCACCGAGGATACTTTGACTCTCTGATAGAACTATTTTCTAATAATTTTTCGACCTCTTCCCCGACCGCGTCATTTATTGCGGAGTTGAATTTTTGCCTTATTTGCCTTACTGGAGGATCCCGTAGCTTCCACGGCTTCTGGATCTTTGATTACATCCTGTCCGCTCTCGCTTGACCTTGACCCTGTTGATTGCTATGCTTCTCTGGTTATGGTTTTTAGTTGTTGTGTGTGCGTGCAGTCTTGAGTGATGCGATAACATTCCCTGGCGGTGTGTTGTTCTCCTCGGATGTTGAATATTCCCCATGGAGTGGGAAACTTGTTGACTTGGTATAAGCTCGAGGGGACGGCCTTTATGGCGTAGATCCAGGGTCGGCCTATGATAGCGTTATACATCGTATCTTAATCTATGAGGTGGAGTGTGGATTCCAACGTAACGCCACTGGCCAGGACGGGCAATGTGATTTCTCCCGAGGTCTGCTCAACTGCATTGTTAAAACATGTCAGTGTGATGCAGCGGGGCACTATCCTATCCTCGAGTTTCATTTGAGTGAGGACCCCTGGATGGATGATGCACGCGCCGCTTCCGTCATCAACCATAATACGTTTTACATCAGTGTTTAAGATAAGTAGAGTAATGACAAGAGCTTCGTAATGAGGGAAAGCCAAACCGCGGGTATCTGTCTTATCGAAGATGATACTTTCTTCGAGTGCGTCATACCGTTCGTAAGTGATCGACCTTTTCAATTTGTGGGTGGTGGTGAACTTTACGTTGTTGATGGATATGTCGCCGCTTCCTCTCGTAGTCATTTGTATGGTTCCAGCTGGGGAGGGTGGTTTGGGCGGACCCTGGTGCTGTTCCCGTCCATGGGCGAAATTGGCCTTCCCTCGGTCGCTCATCAATTCTTTCAGGTGTCCTTCATGGAGCATGTTGACGACCTCCTGTCTTAAGGCGATGCAGTCTTCGGTTTTGTGACCTCGCTCCTGATGGAATTCACAAAGGGCGTTTGACTTTCTAGTGCTGGGTCGGATCTCATCTTCTGCGGCCATTTTACTTTTGGGTCGAGCTTTTCCAACGCATAAACTATTTTTGAGGAGGAAACACAAAATTATGAGCAGATAATAAAGGGGGCATACCTTTCTCACTTCGGTGAGTCCCTGTTCGCTGTCTGGACAGTCCTTCGTCATGGCGGGGAGGCGGCAAGTAAGTATCTCGACTGTAAGGTTCGTGCCTTTCTCGACCAGGCCGGGGTCCCGCTTGATCCTTCCTATAGTCGCCTCTTCGGTCCCTTTTGGATTCGGCTTGTACCGAAGTTAACCGTTGAATTGGCTCATTTAGATCATCCTCGTCGGCTCGGACTTCAGCGCAATAAGAATTATGTATCTCGTCCTAAGTTGTAGGGGGATAATTTATAAGGCGACTTAATAGCTTTCTGGTCGCCCTCAAGCCGTTTCTGTTTAACCCGTTCTAGAAGGCCGCCACTGCCATTCCTTCTGATAAATTTGGCAAGGTCATCCTTACCAGGTCGAATTGGGTGAGGAAGTCCCTAAGTCCCTCTCCGAGTGATTGTTTGATGGCGAATATGTTGTCCACTCTCGCCTCCGCCTTTTTTGCTCCGGCATGTGTTGTTACGAACTTATCGGCCATTTCCTCGAATATTTCAATCGAACGTGCAGGTAGCTGTGAATACAAAGTTAAGGCTCCCCGGTGAGGGTTTCGCCAAACTTTTTCAGTAATATGGATGACACTTGTTCTTTGGTGAGGTCATTGCCCTTTACTGCCGTGACGTAGTGGGTCACGTGGTCCTAGGGGTCCGTCGTGTCGTCGTACATTTTTAGGTACGATGGCATTTTGAAGGTTTTGGGTATGGCGTGCGGCTCTGCCTCATTGTTGTATGGTTGCTCCACGAACCGACCGGCGTCCCTTTTAGGCAGAAGTTTTGGGGCGCCTGGTATCTTATCTACCCATTCTTGATGTTCTTTCATCTGCTCATGGAGCAACTTGTTCTCGTTCTCCATCTCTTCCATTTTTCTCAATATGGACGTGAGGGCATCATCGCCTGCACCATTAACATTGTTAGTGATACCTGTTAGGGCGGTAGCGCGCTGTTCGTTGGGGGTTGGCGTTACGCGAGCTTCTCCGCCTTCTCTATTCAGCCTTCGAGCTGGCTTGTCGAGAATGTTGGTTAGCGTACTTGTCAGCCATGCCTCGAGCAGTCTTTTCATTGCGAGTGGTACCTCCTTCGTGTGGACGTAGAGGCTCCCCTGCCGTGTGAAGTTGTGATGCTTCCAGGGGGAGGGGCGAGCTACTTCGCCGAGGAGATGCGTTCGGCTTGATGTCCTCGTTTCTCGTTTCGTTGATGGTGTGGAGGAGGTTGGTAGTGATGTCAGCTACTGCTTTCCTCTTTTCTTCTCCATTTCTTGTCATGTCAAGCTTGTGCAAACAAGGGTATACGAGATTTTGCAAAGTTTTGTGCGTTTTTCCTCTTAGATCTAGGAGAAACTAAAATATTAACTAGAAAATCCCACAGACCGCGCCAAATTATTTGACCAAAAAGTGTGAAAGCCTCTTTTTGCTAAACTAGTTAAATAAGTGATAATGAATAAATTCTAGTTAAACATAATAAACTCTAGATCCAAGATTGATGAATAGTTGTGCCTTAAGAACCGCATTTAAAGCCTAATATTGAATGAGGTGTTTGATAATATTCCTATGAATGAATGAGGGGAAGAGGGAAAAACAATAAATGTGACAAATGGCAATAAATGTAAATAGAGAGAATGATTCACCTTAATTTTCAATGAGGTGGATGATTCTCTCTCTGACAAGGATATAAAATAACCAAACGAGGGAATACCAAACACTTTATCATATCTAATGTGGGAAAGTTTGGAATCAACAGCCAATCCAATCTTGTCAAAAGATAATGTTTATAACTACTTGAGAGTCGACTTTTCTCGAGAGAACTTATCAAAATCCCATCCCTATTTATATGGGATATATCCCTTACCTACTAAAAGTACAAGTGCAAGGAATATTCTACAGAATATTCCTAAAAAATATCCTGTTACTAACTAGCCGTTTCCGGCCAATTCGAATGCTCGACTCCGACCTTGGATGCTCGGCTCGTTAGCGTTGCTTTAGAAGCATGACCTCGGCCTAATCGACTCATAAGCATAGCCTGTTATGCTTGTCCTCGATCTCGTCCTTAACGAACTCTCCAAAGGTTCACCCTAGTTACTCGGCCGAGCCACCCATGGTAAGTTACGGTCTTCACGATAGTCTTTTTATACTGAACTTCTTAGATCGGATTTTGGCCCATATAGTACCCTTGAACTGAGGTCGTCTTGCTTGCTCCAGATAACATGTTGAAGTGTGGGTCTATCTCATTCAAAAACTTAAACTCTTAGAGAGAACACACTTTTAATCGATTGATTATATTATATCTAATACAATTAAGTAACTAAAAGTTTATTCTCTCTAACATCGTGGATAAGTCACCTTGAAGGAGAGTATTAGTGCAGAAAATGGAAGAAGAATGCTTAGAAAGAGGATTTTTGACAACCTAACATATATTTGAGAAATAACAATTGATATATTTGAGAATTCTTTATATATTATATTCAGTAACATAACCAGGATTTATGCCCCTGTATATCAAAGTACGCTAATCTGACAGAGCAAGAAAGAAAGGATCATACATAGATGTGTTCAATGATTTTGCCTAAGCATTAGCTGCGCAACTTCTATAGATATTTGAAAAAGCTTATGAATGCTAAGTGAAGATCTGAAAAAAAACAAAAAACAAAAAAATTGCAGTCGCGAGTTGCTAACAAAAAGGAATACGCGCATCATCTTCATTGAAAAAAACAGAATGCTAGATACTTGTTATTTTATTAATAAGAAGTTGTACATGGCATCTGATTTTAAGTAAAACCAGGAAAACTGGAACACAATAATAAGAACATTACATCCAGCGTACACATCCAAATCTTCAGCCTTCAAGGCAACGTGTAAGCTGCAAAATCAAACAACCGATTTTAGCAGTAAGTAATTAACCATATCAGAAACAGGTAACTTCATTCCCTCCACCATACACGAACTAAATAGAGTCCCTAAGGCGAATTAGTGGTTTATTTTCAAAAATGATTATTCATCATAACCTAATCTAAAAATGATGCAGAGAGAATTTAGAAAGAACAATAGTAAAATGACAACTTACGTCCACATTTGTAGCCCACGGGACGATTTGCCAGGTTGCAGCGTTTGGGGATGGTAATGGCAACTTCAGGTTTGGCTCCAGAATCCTTAGCAGTATTGGAGAGCATAACAGCACAGAGACATTTCGGATTCTGTCCCAGTTTCTGTATCTGCTGGCAACAGCTTCTGGAAACAGAAGCATTTGAATCTGATGCTGCTTCTGCACAAGGTATCAGCTTCATAGCTTCCATATCCGGTGAATTTCTCCCGCATTCACCAGCTCCATTAGCTGTATTGAAACCAGCAATCACCAAAACCACAACAAATCCTACAACACACAAGTACTTCATTAGAGCTGCCATTTCTTCACTCTCAATACACAATTAAGTTCTTGCTGCTCCAGGGGCTTTATACTGGACATGTAGCTTGGCTGGTGTTGACACGTGAAATCCACTGAACACCATAGTGGAGAAAGCACTAAAGAATACTGAATTTTTAATAAAGCAATTGCTTCAACAAAAGTTAGGTTAGAGGTTTATATTCCTATTTTAAGCTAATCAAGAGTGGTGCATGCTAGCAAAGTTATTAGTAGAGTTTCAGCACTTTGAAAAGCCATGGAGGCAAATGATCAATAATCGGACACCTATAACTCCATTTTCATCTCACCAACCAACCAAGAGAAATGGCCTAAAAGAGAATCACTAGATTGTGCAAAGTGAATTGCAGTTACATTATACACATCTGCAGCTGGTCTTTAGCAAGGCAGACACTGGGATTGTCATACTAGTGAGAGGTACAGAACAGTTCAGCTATTAGCAGTAAGCTCATAGATAAATATTTCATCATTTCCATTATAGCGAGAAATACTCAGCAATATTGTAATAAAGGGGCATTGCATTATGGAATCAATTTAAGTTATGAGAAAAAGTCCAGATCGAAAGCAACTCCTAATCAATGTTATTATCTGAATAAACCTAAACAAGTTTGATCATTTTCCCCCTTTTTACACAGTGGGTTTCTGCTAACATTTCAACTCGCTGAAACGGTTTAACTTGCATATGCCAATATTAAAGCTTTTTTACTAATAGATTCCAGTCTTCAGGGTTAGTTCCTCCTTTATTTGTCCTTGAATGATCATCGCAACTTTTATTTGTTTTACTTGGCCGCGTGTTGCAACTTATTGCTCTGGTTTCTTTCAAATAAAATTCTTCTTCTGTCTTATTTGAAAAGTAATCCATCAACCAGTCAAATGCTCTAAAATCCTTCTAGTTTTATGAGACATTTAAACCAAATACAAAAAGATTTGTAATGAAAAGAAAAAGTAATCTGAGACAAAATACATATTACGGAAGGATATATTGATACACGCATTTAAATGACAAAAAAAAAGGTGGCAAATTAACGAGTGAAAGCATAAAAAACAGTACAAACATTAATAAGGAGCCCTAAGGGAACAAAAATCACAAGTGGAATAACAGCTCCATAGGTATGTTTGCTCCCACATCCCAAAATCCCAAGCTTGATTTGTACCACATTAATCAAAGCAAGCATCAAAAACACCGACCCGCAAACAGAACCCGCAGCAGAAACCAGGTACCCGACCCGAAGCGCGTTCTTGTTGATTTGGGCCAAGTCAAGAGAATAGATGGTGGGGAAATGGTGGGCAGACTTAGCAAGACGAATAGCCTGCTTAAGGCACAAAGCAATGAGGCTAGAAAAGAGGAAACAGCTGAAGGAGTACACGTGGAAGGCGACAAGATCCTCGGCAACCTTGGGCTTCGCAAAACAGTTGGTGTCGGTGGCGAGGCTGTTGTTCAGATCATGGGGATTCCAAGCTAGTCCGATGAATACTGCTAGTGTGAAAAGGGAGTTGACGTTGATGATGCCGTCTAGGGCTGTGATGTGGATTGTGGTGCCCAGTTTTGGGACAGCTCCCTCGCACATTTTGTCCCCGGAGTTGTTAGTCCCAGAATCAGATCCCGACCACTGATGTCTTACTTTTGACTGACTAGGTAGTAGGTAAGTCTTTATTTTCTTTGGTTTGGATATTGAGGCAATGAATTGACGTAAAGGTCTATTTACTTTAAAAAAGGGTCCATTTAATAGAGTGTAAGCCCAAACAAATTGGGCCAAGAGAGACAACCTCTGTAGCAGAATACCAGCAAAGCGTCCGCATAGCATTCTGGAATTTTGACAAGAGAGACTAGCCAAACACTAATAACCTGTTTGGCCAAGCTTTTTTTTGGGCAAAAGTGCTTTTTTTTTTGCCAAAAACACTTTTCGCCAAAAATTAAGGTGTTTGGCCAAGCTTTAGGAAGGAAAAAAAGTGCTTTTGAGGAAAAGCAGAAGCAGTTTTGGAGAAGCAGAAAAAAATAGCTTCTCTCCAAAAGCACTTTTTTGAAAAGCACTTTTAAGAAAAATATACTTAGAACCAGTTTTTTAAAGCTTGGCCAAACACTAATTGCTACTCAGAAGTGATTTTCAAACTAATTAGTCAAACACAAACTGCTTCTCACCAAAACTACTTTTGAGAAAAGCACTTTTGAAAAAAAGCACTTCTCAAAATAAACTGATTTTTGCAGCTTGGCCAAACGGGCTATAAAACGAAATAAAAATAAAATGATGTATGCAGATTGCAGATAAGGAATTAGGAGGTAAAGCGGTGACAATGAAGCAGGATGATATTTTTAGCACTGGCATTTTTAAAACCGTATGTTGGAGCATTTTCTTTAAGTTTTCCGTGATTTTATGCTCCCTGTGAAAGATATGAAGAAACCACAACCAAAAAATAATGCCCCAAACAAAATAAACGCCGTTGCCGGGGATCGAACCCGGGTCACCCGCGTGACAGGCGGGAATACTCACCACTATACTACAACGACTTGTTGCTTATACTATTGGAAGAAATTATTTCGTTATTGATGATTATCAGCCTATGTAAATTTGAGTTGCCCCATGACACAGTCAACGAAAAAAAATTGACCCAAAAGGAAAGAGGACATAACGTTAGCGTTCATCCACCACTTTTACGTTATACATATCATAACACCCAAAAGACATGGTTGAAACTTGAACGTAGTTAAACTTCAAGACATTTTTATTCTAACTCTAATCTAAGAGATGATTGTAATTTTGAAATTACAGTGTTTTTGGTAAAAGGTTTTCAGTTTTTTCATAGAAAACTATCGAAATAAAGCTTTTTTTTTCATACTTCAACGGAAACCTTAGGAGCCCACTGCCTTAAAACTTTTCTTTTTTACTCTTAAGCAACTTTACAAATTTTATCGTGTGTTTGTATACGGTTAAAATCGGGCCTATCCGATTTTACTATTTCATCGAGACTAGGGAATTGCATCGAGGGCCTCGTAATGGATCAGACCAGAGCACAAAGACAAGGTATCGAGTTCGAGAATCGAGGTGACTGTCGAGATCGAGGCCAACAGCGATCGAGACCAAATATGGCAGACTTCGAGCAAAGCGCAATAACGAAAAAGCGAGATATCCGTGACCGGTCGAAGATCACCTCGGAAATCCCGGAAAAGATCAAATCAAGGGCGATTGTTTAGGCTAATCATGGGATTTACTTCCGTAATTAGAATTGTACCATAGATAGAATTCATCTACTATATAGAGAGGGTTCTAATCATTTTGTAAACATCTTACATTCATGCAGATCAAAGCAATACAATATTCTCTCGTTAATTTACACTTTTGTTCATCAGCTTGTTACATTTTAATTGTTCTTGCACAACTAGCTCGAGGGTATTCAAGCTCGAGGGCTGAATTCTTGTTCAAACACTGGTTTGCCTTATCTTATTGTCAATTTCCATTACTAATCTTTACATTTGTCTATTAATATTAGGTGAAGTCGCGTGTCCTTAAACTCACATTATAAGTTTAATTGTTATCCAATTTTAAGGGTAAACAGCGTTAAGCACATGAATATGTTTATTCACTCATTTGTTGGCTTGTCATAATTTAGTAGTAACGCTTATGTGATTGTTTACCCATAAAACGCTACAGTTGAATTTATAACGTGGTTTATAGACACGTAAATTAAATTGATTCAAGAATATAAAGTAATGACGAACAAGATTGAATAAAAAAAGAATAATTGAAGAAAAGACAAAGTCTGGGCTTTGAATTGGACTTCTCCGGAAACAAGAACAATATCAAAAGCTAAATTCTAGGAGAACAATGTTTAGCAAAATAAGAGAGTAATATTAGCCTTTTTTTAATACAAGTATTCATGTCGTTTATCAGCTTTAAGGTGAATAAAGACCCCTCTTAATAGCTGCTATAACGGTTGAGTATAAATGCTAGGATTCTCTATAACGACTGCTCCTTTAATGTTACCTTCTTCGAGTGGTTACTTGCTTTTAAATTCTCCTCTCCGGTTTCAATACCTGTGGAACTTATACAACACCGGTCATATGCTTGTACTCGGTATCAGCTATTTGCCGACTCATATCCTAGCTGTCATTATTGTCACGTGTCAACTCGACGAACGTCCACCTTGTGAGCGTTACTGTGTTAAAACACAAAATCAGGAAAAAAAACTGTTAGAAGAATTAAAGAAATCTGGAAAATAGTAGAGAATCAGAAATATTCCGAGTCCACAAGTTTCTTGTGTGTCCTTAAGGAATTTTAACCCCCTCACAAGTTGCGAAGGTAATGAGTTAAATCCTCCCAGGATAAAACGGAATAAACCTTCCTGCAACAGTGGCAATACAAACTGCAGGATCCCAACGAACTCAAAGAACGGAGCAAAATCACACTTACGAATTGGAGAGAGATTGACTGCGAATTAGGATGCAGTATATTCAAAAAGAAAGAAGTTCTGGAGTGTTTTTCGTGTGTAGAAAATGGAGCCTTGCCTCAGAATTTATAGGCAATTATCAGAAGAGGTGTCTGGAAAAGGTGCCTTTTCAGAAGAATATGCTGCCTGCCGCGGTTCTACCGCGGTCACGGCAGAACCGCGGTCAGAGAGGCTCTCTGAATCTGCCTGCCGCGGTTCTACCGCGATTACGGCAGAACCGCGGCCAGAGAGTCCCTCTGAATCTTCAGCAGGGTTCTGGCATATTTTCAGCAGTGATTTGGCATTTAGTTAATTATTAAATAAATTTTGTCCAAAAATAATCTTATCGATCGATATTTGACAAATCCAAATCCAAATCCAAATCCAAATCCAAATCCAAACCCAAATCCAAATCCAAAGCCGAAGCCGAGCCGAGCGAGCGACGACGACGGCGCGAGGGTTCATTCTCTTCAACTCCTTTTAAGAGCTTTAAGAAGTGATTCTATATATAAGCACACAAATGTGATTGTCCCTCACCAATGAGGGACAAAGTGCAAGACAAAAGTTCACTTCTTCAAATTTTCATTTTTCCCTCCATTTTATTTCCCTCCATTTCCAATTCACACTTCTTCTACTTTAAAGCCCAATGGCTTAAAGTCCAACAATCCCCCACATGAATGGGAATGGCTGTATCAAGAAAGATCATAAATGAAAGTTGTGTGATTTGCATGTAAGGATTAATTGCATCTGGATAAGTAGGTTTTTCTTTGAACTTTCCGTAGTGAACATATGTCGGATATACTCGGTCAATCGGTAGATTTGATATCTTTGAACCGTCGAACTTTAGTGTATACCTAGGCAACCATATGTCACACAATCAACCCTTAACCATCTTTTAGTTCTCATTGTTGTGTTCGTTTCAGCCATGAACACCGCCTGGTCTCATAAGTGCGTAGAGAATTGTCCTTACAGAATTCTCATTGAAGCGGCTTCCACTTCACACTTACATAGGTGATTCCTAAACGTGTAATCCTTTAGATTGACACTATTTGATAACTACCACATCAAACTTAGGTAATCATTAAAGAACGTGTAAAGTTCTATCCTTGTTACTGAACATTGTCTTCATCACGAGAAGGGACCAAAGATTTTACTTTGACAATGTTGAACCGGTCAATCACAACTTTGTTTGAGCTCCTTGAACCTAGATCTCGGAACATCCAAAATTCTAGGTAGAGTTACCGCCATGTTGACTTGTCCTCGGCCATAGTCCCATTCCCTTAGATGATTTCTCAACTCCCTCTCTAGTTAAGCCTTTTGTAAGCGGATCCGCCACATTATCCTTTGATCTTACATAATCAATAGTGATAATTCACTAGAAAGTAGTTGTCTAACGGTGTTATGTCTTCGTCGTATATGACGAGACTTTCCGTTATACATAACGCTCCCTGCCCGTCCTATTGCAGCCTCACTATCGCAATGTATGCAAATAGGAGCCAAAGGTTTTGGCCAGAACGGAATGTCTTCTAAGAAATTTCGAAGCCATTCAGCTTCTTCACCGGCTTTATCCAATGCTATAAACTCTGATTCCATTGTAGAGCGAGCAATGCACGTTTGTTTGGAAGACTTCCAAGATACTGCTCCTCCACTAACAGTAAAAACATATCCACTTGTGGACTTTGTTTCTGTTGAGCCGGTTATCCAATTTGCATCACTATATCCTTCGATAACCGCAGGATATTTATTGTAGTGCAAAGCGTAGTCTTGGGTATATTCCAAATATCCCAGAACTCGTTTCATTGCTACCCAGTGATGTTTGTTGGGATTACTTGTGAATCGACTAAGTTTACTTATCGCACAAGCTATATCAGGTCGTGTACAGTTCATGATGTACATTAAGCTTCCCAACACACGAGCATACTCCAATTGAGACGTACTTTCACCTTTATTCTTTATAAGATGATGATTTAAGTCAATTGGAGTTCTTGCACTTCTAAATTCCAAGTGTTTGAATTTTTCAAGTACCATTTTCACGTAATGTGATTGAGACAAAGCTAGACCCTGAGGAGTGCTCTGGATTTTAATTCCTAGAATTACATCGGCAACTCCTAAGTCTTTCATATCAAACTTACTAGCAAGCATGCGCTTAGTAGCTTGAATGTC